AGAATAGGTCGGGTCAAAATGTAGGACAAACCCCAGAGATCCAACGAGTTGCAAATCCTACTCAGTACTTAAAAGCTTTTTGGTTTTTACCTCGCCCCAGTACAAAATTGCATTTCCATGGGGTTTTTTTTGTCCCCCTGCAGCTTTATTTGTCATTTGCTGAGAATGACAGTTTCAGTAAATGGGTAGGACGAAACATTTTGGGGCAGCGAAATAACAGAGAAGTATATACTCTGGGCAAATACACAAAGGTTCCTTTATCCGCCGCCTTGTATAAAAAGAAAAGCCAGCATGGGTGCAGTTTAGAAGCAATTAACGCAAAGCTCTGGTGCCTTTGCTTTTTAAAAAAAACAACCCCAAGATTTTTCAGGGAATATAAGTGTCGGTTGTCATGTTGGAAGTTTTACAAGGTTTAATTAGGACTCCCTTTTTGAATATATACAGAGTACATCAATGTGATCGGCTCTGCATCCTGTTGCAACCGGTATGGTGTAACGGGGCCCGGCGCCACCACATCAATGCATGCACCCTGCGTGCACATACGCGCATCACGCTCACGCGTGCTTACCGCCTGCGACGCGCCGCGATGCTCCAGCTGCTCAGTGGAGCATCGCATAGGCGCCATACGCTCGGTGCACCTGCGCAGAAGCGCTGAAGAGCTCAAATACAGGTAAGGAGCTTGAGCGACGGGCGGGCCCTCCGGAGCACCTTGCTGGAACGGTACCGGATGCTCCTGGCAGACACAGGTACGCCCGTATTGGGGCATACCGGTTGTAACCCAGCACTGGAATACATAGTTCTCTCTTCATTTAGTGTTCATTGCAGGAGTGAAATCAACTTACTCTACCTTTGCTACCAGTTTGCAAATGGGTGCGTGCATAACCACCACCACGAATGTGCAGGACCTTCCACGCACATGTGCAGAGCTTCAAAAATGGGCCGTGTTGACATCTGGGTGAGTGGGCGGAGCCTCCAGACGCTACTGGTTCGCCCAAACTGGATAGAACCGGTTGAATTTCCCCCCTGGTTCAAAGTCACAACCTCTATGAATGAAGTGACAGGATCGTTTTTCACACTTACGACCCTGGTAGCGATCCCGCAGTCACATGGTCAAAATTCAGAAGCTTGGCGACTGGCTCCTATTTATGACAGTTGCTGTGTCCTGTGATCGCGTGATCCGCTCTTGTGACCTTCTGACCAAGCAACATCAACGGGGAAGCAAGATTTACTTCCTAACCGTGGTCCTAACTGTGATTCACTTAACAACTGTGGCAAGAAAGGTTGTAAATGGAGCTCACTTAATCACTGTCTCACTTAGCGATGGAAATTTTAGGCTCAATTGAGGTTGTAAGCTGAGTTGTACCTGAACGCTGTTTTTATGCTTTTAATATTTTATTAAACAAGGTCGTAAAGTGAGCTCACATCACAACCGTCTCGCTCAGCGACAGAAATTTTGGGCTCAATTGTGGTCGTAAGTCAAGGACTGACTTTAAACCAAATCTGGGACGAAAGTGTTTGGAAAGAGCCCCTGAAATTTTCAGGGCTGAAATTTAGTATACAAGTACTGTCCTCCTCAACTTACGACAGTTTGTTTAGTGACCAGTCAAAGTTACAATGGCACTGAAAAAAGTGACTTATGACCATTATTCCACACTTATGACCATTGCACCCCGAGGTCACGTGATCCGCTTTTTGCGACCTTCTGACAAGCAAAGTCCATGGGAGAAGCCAGATTCGTTTAACAACTGTGCGACTAATTTAACAACTGTGGTGATTCACTTAACAACTGTGGCAAAAATGGAGCTCACTTAACCACTGTCTCACTTAGCGATGGAAGTTGTAGGCTCAATTGAGGTTGTAAGCTGAGGACTACCTGAATGCTGCTTTCAATATTTTATTCTACACCACTCAGATTGTGAGGGAGATTGGTAGTTCTTAAATGTGTGTGTATATACTGTAGTTGTGGGTATTTCTGATTGTGTGTGTGGGGGTATATAGTTGTGCTGAGGGACACGGTCATAGTAGGGGACGTGGTGGTTCGGTGGCTGAGACGCTTGTCGATCAGAAAGGTCGGCTGTTCGGCGGTTCGAAGCCCTAGCGCTGCATAATGGAGTGAGCTCCCATTACTTGTCCCAGCTTCTGCCAACCTAGCAGTTCAAAAGCACGTGAAAAATGCAAGTAGAAAAATAGGGACCACCTTTGGTGGGAAGGGAACAGCGTTCTGTGTGCCTTCGGCATTGAGTCATGTCGGTCACATGACCCCGGAGGCGTCTTCCGACAGCGCTGACAGTTCTGAGGTCATCTCTGCCATCGCTAAACATAAAGAACCGTTCCCCGCAGGTAGAAGACTAGCAGTTCAGTGCAGGGAGCTTGGGAGAACTAGCTGCTCAATGCAAGGCCTTCCTCCCGACAGATTAGCTCTTTTGGTGGAAGAGATGATGCTCCCACTATGGAAGGGGTGTGTGTGTGTCTGTGTGTGTGTACATTAAGCAGCCGAGATGGCCCCCCGCAAACAAACCCGTACGTTGTCGTCCCCCTCTCTCAGAGCACCTTTAAAGGCCTCGGCATTATCACTCCTTCTGTTGCTGCACTGACGTCAGTAGAGAGCCCGGCCTGTATCCTGGGAGAAATCGGTCCGTGGTGACTGGTTGCCATGGAAATACACCTTGTTGCAAGCTAACAGCCCCAATCGGCTTCCGAAAAAGCCCCCCCCCCACGCCCGCCCGGCTTCAAGCCAAAAGGGCTGCTACAATGTGGGAAGGGGCCCAAGGTAAGCCAGCCGAAGAAGAATCAGTGGGGAAGGGTCCCGTGTCTGTTTTGAAACACGGGGGGGAGGGGGCAGGTGGAGAGAAAGAGGGAGCCCCCCCTCAAGGTGCCCTACACTGAGTGGTTATCCATGATAGATGCAGCTTTCTCTGTACCATCTGCATCCCCCCCCACACCCTCCCTGCTTCCCAGTCTCGTTGTGGGGCAGGCAAAGAAGCTCGGTAGTGCTTTGGGGAGGGGGGGGGATTGCAATCTTCCTCCTTTACTCGCTTTCTAATTTTGCAAAGGGGATCCCCACTCTACCCCCAAAAAAGGGGTGCACCTGGGGTGACTCTGTAGTTGATGATTTTCATATGTCTTCAGGCCGTCCCAATTTTCCTCTTGCAAATGGTCACCGCCGCTGAGTTTATTTGCTCCACATGTAAAGCTACTACATCCATACAACACACTTTGCAAATCAGATCTGGAGGGCAGTGGCTGCAGCCACTCGGCACGTCCTAAGCTTGCTTTAAGGCTAACCTTGGATAGAAATTTTGGGGGGATTCTTTTGGCAGACTGAGGGACGGGGTAGCTCAGTGGCTAAGATGCTGAGCTCGTCAATCAGAAGGTCAGCAGTTCAGCGGTTCGAATCCCTAGCGNCAGGAAACCCTATACCCATTTCAGAAAAAAATGCCTCCAGTGGTGGAGCACCCACAATTTCTGGACTCCATCTGGACTCTTTCCTTCTTTCTCTCCACAATAATCCAGGGATAATCAAAACTAGAGGGAGATCTGTAACAGAATCTTCTCCATCAACACCCTAATTCAGTGCCCATTCCAACCGTTAAGCTCAAAAGCAGCATCGAGAGGAATCTAAAAAGACATTCTCAAGCTTGTAGGTAAAAGCAGAAAACCTCATGAAGCTTTGCATGGAAGATTTTGGAAGAGGACTTCTAATTCTGATATTAAATATCTACTCCTCTAAGGGGACAGTATTTATTGACACACAACGGTGCGGTGCACAGCTACTGTCTCCAACGCTGCTTGCTATAAAAATTCCCTGCTGTGATGGGATTTAATTAAACAAAAAACAAAAAGAGAAAGGAAGCACCTTCATGCTTGCTAATCACATTGATAGTATCCATTGTCAGATAGAGATACAATGCAGTTTTGTTTCGTTCTACAACATCCCAAATAGTTATGTATTAATAATCCATTAAATATTTAGTTATTACTGAATTTATATCCCCTCTCCAGCGAATGTTGATTTTTATTTACTAGCCTTTCATATCATCAACTACAAAAATCTCTTGGTAGTTTATTAATATTTTTAATACAGTTTAACGCCAAATACAGTATGTGGGTACATACCGCAGATGTACAGCCTTCATATAAATTAAAATACAGTCTTCGGGACTGTAATTACAAATCCATTGGTCAAATTCATTAGGAAATATCAATATATTTTCTCCACACAAAATTGGAATATCCAAAAGCTGACAAACGGATACTTTATTTCAATCACTGATCAATAAAAGGGCATTCAATAAAACAAACCACAGAATACTATCCCCTGACAACAAGAACTATTTGTGGGCGAAGCTTATGCACAATATTGCAAAATCTGCTCCTTTTAGGGAAATAAATTTAACTTGTTTAACAATGCAAATAAAAATTACCAGAATCCCTTGGAAAGTTACATAAAATAGGGGTATTTTAAGGGGTCACAAATCTTCCTGTAGAATTAGCAATACAGAAGAACAACAGATGTGNTGGGATTCTGATGTAACTTCCAGAGTTGGGACCCCACAGCCATGTGCAAACATGCCTGCTTTATTAAATTGGAACTTTAAGCATAGTTTTGCCTTCAATTCTGATTTGATTCTATATGGTATTTGGAACGCTGACACTTAAATTTCCATTAAGTAATCTTGTAGAGTGAACATTCTATTGTTATGTACAGTTTACAGCTAAATATGTGTACAATCTGATTGTCAAATCTTTTAAAGTATAAGACATGAAAACAAAGGCACATAAATTTTTCGGACTATAAGACACTCCAGACGCACCCAGCTTTTGGAGAGGTAAACAAGAAAAAAAAATCTGCCTCTGCCTCACAGCAATTTGCCTCCTTGCAGCAAGCAGCAAACAGGCGGTCAGCTTCATCACAGCCTGATTTAGCATGAGCAGCTGATTGGCAGTTGGATCTGCCTCCCAGAATACTGCCTATCAGCTGTTCCAGGCTGCGGGGATCGCCACCACCTATTGCCACTGTTGCCTATCGCTGCTTCCATGCGTCCCGTTTTCAGCCTCTGCACATCCCATTTTTGGCTCATTCCAGGCAGCAGGGATAGGTGGTGGTCACGACAATCCCCGCTACATGGAACAGGCTGAAAATGGGACACGTGGAGGCGGCAAAGGGTAGCAACGGGGTGGTGGTGGTCCCCGCAGTCTGGAACAGATGATAGGCGGTATTCTGAGAGGCAGATCCAACCGCCAATTAGCTGCTCATGTTAAATCAGGCTGTTAAACCAGGTTGTGCTGAATCTGACCAGGGTGCAAGGAGACAAATTGCTGGGAGGCAGACGCTGAAGGGTGGGGGCCAGCAGGAGGCTGGGGCTCCAGCAACATTCGTTGTATAAGACGCACAGAGATTTCCACTCACTTTTTTTTGGGGGGGGGGGAGGCATCTTATACACTGAAAAACACGGTATAGATTGTCAATCATCACATATTTCTTTGAAACAAAGTAACTTGTGAGCTTTGTAAACAATGTATTCTTACACTTTTAAAGTGAAGATAGTGCTGACTTAATTATTCCTTCATTCAGTTAAGTAAAATTGAGATTAGTGATGACAATATATTTTGCCATACCTAAAACATATTTATCTGATTCTTTTGAGGTTTCTTGAACTGAATTATAAAGAATAAACCTGAATACAAATATAACTTTCCTAACTCACTGCAATAACATGTACTAATTCAACTTCAAAGATCCGTACTAAGTTAAAAAGAATTTCTGCAAAGAATAATTCAAAATAAGCCCATAAAGTATTATGGTACAATACATAATAACCCCATCCACCATGATATCACTAACTACGCAAATCCTAGCCTTTTTGAATTTGTAGCCCAATGTCAAATGCAAGTATGTAAGACAGAGGTTCCCAACCCCCGACCTGCAGCCCGGTAGTACTTGTGCGACTGATGGATAAACATGCGTGCACAAAACTGCACTTGCGCAAGTGGTGAGTCCTTTTGCTCATGTGCAAAACTCCACTCATGTGAATGGAGCTTTGCACATGAGCATTCTTCACTTGTGCAAGTGGAGTTTCGTGCGCAAGCACAAATGCCCTCCACTTGTGTAAGTGGAGCTTTGCACACAAACACTGTCCACTGAAGTACCCTCCAGTAGTATGTGGAGATCCATTTGCGCACGTGGAGGGTATATGCCCAAGTCGCTTGCACCAACTGAGCTGCGGCCATATGCGTGTGGCCTGTGGTCACATGCTTTCTCTCATGCCGGGCCAGGTTGCCAAAGTAGAAAGGTTGGGGACCATGATGTTAGATACATGTGGTTTCACAAGCCATGTTTCATCATTTCCAACCCTCAACTTGTAGATGCCTAAGATGCTCACTATCTTCATATTGTCCTCAATGGGAGATAATGCAAACTTCAAATAACAGCATAATTAGAGCACACCATTTCTGTAGGAACAACCTTCAGACATCAAATATTCTCCTACATTGGTCTGTTCAATATGAAAGTCTGGAGAGCAGAACTTGCAATGATCACCTTTCCTTAGTTCTTCTATTACTAAGGTCCCTAATACTTTTTGTGAGTTGTTTTATGAACACTTTGTATATTCTTCCACAGTAGGTATGTTGTGTCTTTTGTAATTCATGTTCAAGAGGTAGAAGCAATGCATGTAGAAGGTCATCTTCAAACGAATACTAGAAAAGTATTAGAAACATTGTATTGATAAGTTAGATTTACCAATTCCAGGTTTTCTGATGTAGTTCTAAAACTGCAATTTTACAGTACACTGCATTTTATAAATATGTATTTCTAAGAAAAATAATCTAGGTCCAATAAAAGACCTGCCCCTACTTTTAATATTAATCTTCATCAGGCAAGGCAGCAATATCATCATTTTCAGTATTCATAATGTCCAGTTACTGTCACTTTAAATATTTTTTTAAAAAATGTAAAAAACACAAAGATACATAAAAATCGTATTAGTACTTAAAATGATACATTATTTTTTGTAGAACACATTGTTCTGAGAAAGTGGCTTTAGTGTGAAATATCTATAACTTCCCCCAGAATATTCAAGTGATATATTAATGTACAATATATTGAGTAGAAACAGCATAAAAATAGCAATCTATAGAAACATTAAAGAAGTGGTATTTTCATTAAACTGAATTATAAACACGCATAGTAAAGGGCTATTGCTTTTCAGTTACAGGTTTGTTTAATATGTTATAAATGACATAATATATGCAAACACATTACAATAAAATAATTTTATTATTTTGCTGGAATTGATCTACATCTTTTCTGTGCTTTATGCACAAACAAAAGCTGATCCTAAATAAAGTCAACAGTTTTCTTTTCTTAATATATTTTGGTAATACTCAAAGGAATTAAGAAATTGAACTTTTATGAGACCACATTTTCTTTTGGTGTAATAAATTCTAAGCCCCCAGTAGTATTTTTCCCCCATTTTTATACCTTTATGGCAATATGCCACAAAGCACCATTAAAATATGCTATTTATTTTTGAAGAATATATGCTAGATAGGATGAACATTAAAATAAGCAACACTGCTGCATTTATAGCTTTCCAGTGAGTATTCTGAAAGACTGATAAATAGTTTATTAGAACTGGCAAACTGAAGCCAAGCATCTATAATATTTTAAAAGGACAAAATTAAAATAAGAAAATTATACAACTGTCATTGAAATAAAACTTTTCAAAAACAAAGCATCATATATAATTTTAGCAATAAAAAGGAAACAAGGAGTTGTCATATTCCTGTGTAAAAATTGTTTTTTTGGTTCACCATTGCAGGTTCACTAATTACAAGTGTTTATAGAAGCAATATATTGCATGGAATTTCTTAATCATAATATTGTGCTCCTGAGTCAAAATAATGAGTCTCACCTGGTCTTGATGAATTTAAAATTAGAAAGCTTAATACTGGAGGTTTTCAGTGTCTCACTGAAATCAATACTGTAATTAAGCCTTACTTCCTTTCAAAGTCTATTTTATTTTTGAATATTTCAGAACACATTCTGGAATGTCCACTTTCAATGTGTTTATTTATTTTTTTAAAATAAATGTGTTTATTTATTTTTAAAAATAAATAAAATGGTGGAGGTAAAGTTCTCCGAATTATTTTTAATTTTAAAAGTTCAAATTAAAATGTTTACTTACATTTTTAATTGCATAATAAACAGTACGAAACGTTGGCTGCTTATCATCATGGTAAACTCCTCTATTTCCATGAAGAATGAATATTCCTTCCTTTTCTGCCTCTTGGCAATTGCTCCCATAAATACAATGGTCGGGCCGATAGTTCCATTGGCAAGGGAAAACAAAAAGGCTTTCTAGAGAAAAAAAAAAATCATCTATTATAATTTTTCCAGGCAAACTATTCATTGAAGGACTTAGACTATCAAGTCCAAGCCCTTGTTCAATGGAAAAATCAAAGTTAAAAGTATGTCCAAAGTTTGCTGACCACACTTTGCCTGAATACTGTACATACAACGAAGTGAAATTTATACTGTCATTTGATAACTGGTTCAACTGTTGAAATGCATTACCATTAAAAGAAAATTTCCTAGCATTGAACTGAAATGTCTTCCTCCAATTTAGAATAGAATAACAGAGCTGGATGGGACCTTGGAGATCTTCCAACCCCCTTGCTTAGGAAGGATTTCAATATTCAATCTCTTCTTAAAAACTTCTGGAGGCAAGCTGTTCCACTGATTAATTGTTCTGTTAGGAAATGTCTCCTTAGTTCTAGGTTGCTTCTCTCCTTGATTAGTTTCCACCCATTGCTTCTTGTCCTGCCCTCAGGTACTTTGGAGAATAGCTTGACTCCCTCTTCTTTGTGGCAACCCCTGAGATATTGGAACACAGCTGTCATGTCACCTCTATTCCTTCATCAAACTAGACATACCCAATTAGAGCAACTGTTCTTTGTATGTTTTAGCCTCCAGTCCCCTAATCATCTTTCTTGCTCTTTTCTGCATTCTTTCTAGAGCAGTGGTTCCCAACCTGGGCCCCAGGCCCCACCAGGGGGGGGGGGATTCGAAAATGAGCTTTTAACTGAACTTTTAAAAGCCTGCTAATTGTTCTTATATATTTGTGGTGAAACAGCTATGTTTCATTTACCTAGTGTTGTCTTTGTTAAAGTGCATTTTCTAGTTCCTGGTCCGAAAAGGATATCCCAGAGAGGAGGGAGCAAATGCCAGCCAATCCAGATGTGTTCCCACTAAGGAGCATGGGACTGGCAGTCTCTCTCTTTTTCCGTGCGCTTTGCTGCTGATTGCAGGGAGAGCTGACCGAGTGGATGGCTGCTGGGGGAAGCCCAGCAGTGGGATACAGAACCAGGACCCAAGTTTAAGTAAGAAATTGTTAGATTTACAGTTATATATAGTCTGTGTTTTCCCAGGCTGTGTTTTACAAGACTTTTCCTCTCAGAGCAATATGCGGCTGGCCCACGCATGTATAGAACTTGCTAGGCCTGTATGATTCATCTCCACCTACTAAACTACCAAAGCATTTCCCTATTATGCTGCAGGTTCAAACCAAGTGGGCAAGTAAGGGGGGGGTGTCATACGTTACAATCCCCCTTTCATTCATGACAATTATTATTCATAAATTAAGCTAAGAATGTTTTTTTTTTAATTTCCCTCTTTCTGCACCATCTTCTTTTAATAGTTATTTCTTTTAATAATTTGCATCATTTCAAAAGTTTTTCTCACATTTATTTCTTTTAGTCACAAACCAAATGCATAAAATGAGTAGTGCAAGCAAGAAAAAAGTTCGTCAGTATTGACAAGAATATTTCCTTGGCTTCATACCCGCAAGCCATGATGAACAGTCACTTTTCTGCCTCTTATGCCAACAATATTTGACCAACGAATCAATGAAACAAGATCATCTTGAGGCGCATTTGAAGGCGAAACATAGTGTGTACGTAAATTCAGATTTTTTTAAATAAGTTTTTTTATTTTTATTTTTCAAAACAGACACAACACAAAAAATCCTTTCTTTACATACTGTAGAAAGTGTATCAGTTGGTTACAAAAAGTTTTCGTGCATTTCTTTCATAGTCACCCATGATTCATATTAATTCTACTATTTTAAATGAAATCTATTTGTACATATTACCATCATCCTACCCTCATTCTGGTTTGACTATAATTGTTTAAACGTCCTTCATCCTAAAACATACCAAAACTCAAGACATAATCACATACTGGCATCTCATTTGCTATTTCTAGTATCCCAATAACACTATTCCTTATGGCCTATTCTAGCTAAACATCAATAACATTTAGTAACAAAGGTTTCTAATCTTCCTNAGGTACTCAGTGGACAAGAAAATCTTATCACCAATGTGGTACTCTTTTTGCTTAACTCTCTTATCAGCTTGTTTCTTAGGCGCTTGATGAGCTTCATCTAGCATTTTTCGAGTCACCGGCCAGATGACTTGTAGCTGTTTGGTCCACTCAGATAGGAAAGGGTTTTGTAGTCCCCCCTGGGGCAATTCAGGGATAGGCACAAAATCCTGACCAAAAACTACTTTCAATGAGGTAAACCCGGTACTGCTATGTATAGAATTATTGTATGTGACCTCTGCAAAAGGCAATAAGTCGGCCCAATTATCTTGTTAATAATTGAAGTAGCATCTGCGGTACTGCTCTAGAACCGAGTTAGCCCATTCACAAGCCCCATTTGTCTGTGAATGGTGGGCAGAACTTAGACCCTGGATGGAGCCTAACATTTTCAAGAACTTCCTCCAAAAGTGGAAGGTGAATTGGACCCCTCTGAGATAATGCATTCAGGAACAGCATGTAACCTATACACATATAGGATGAACAGTTTAGCCAGTGTTTTTGTTGACGGAATCTTGTAGCAGGGCACGAAATGCACTTGATTGGAGAACAAATCCGTGACCACCCAAATGACAGTACTGCTATTACTTTCTGGTAGCTCGAAAATGAAATCCATGGATATCTCCTTCCAAGGGGCACCAGGTCTGGCAACATTTTTGATTAGTCCATGTGGTTTTCCTGGTGGTCTCTTTGCCACAGCACAAACAGGAAAACTAGCAATATAGGGTTCTATATCTTTTTTCAAAGAAGGCCACCAAAACTGTCTTTTAACCAAATATAAGGTCTTCACAAACCCAAAATGTTCAGCTGCTTTTGAATCATGGGCCTGTTGGAGGACAACACTTTTTAAACTAGTAGGCACATACAACTTGACTCCCACCCATGCAAGTCCATCCGACAGGGTGCATTTATTTGAGTGGGATTTGAACTAGTCATCAGATGCTGGGGCCTCCCTCAGACGTTTTGTTAGCTCTGTGGGTATGTCTAGGTCAACTTTTCCTTGGCTTCTGGTTATTTCTGGAGCTGTGAGCTCCTTGGAAGGAATGACCAGATGAATCACCTCTGGCCTAGCTCTGTTATACTAGATAGAGCATCTGCCATGAAATTCTTCCCTCCCGGAAGGTATCTCTGCTGAATGCCCGAGGTACCAATATTCCTTAGGGATTTTCTCCTCCCCCTCAATTTTCTCCTGTGCGGGCTGCTTGCGTTCTTGGCTTTGGCCATGTAGGAAGTTTTCCCATCCCCTGCTTTCCCTGCTGGGTGGAATGGATGCGTAGCAGTCCCTTCCTCCAATTTACATGAGGGTTCCACTTCCATAACCAGGGTAATCCACATATGAGGAGCCATTCCATACCAGGGGCAACAATGAAGCTTAAAGATTCATGGTGGTCACCTATCCACATCTCTACTGGTTCCGTCACAAAATGGGTTGCCCCCCCCCCCCAGCTACTGATCCACCAGCTGGCAAAGAGCGATGGGTACTTTCATTGTTCTTAGTTTTAGTTCCATTTCCTCCACCATCACCGGGCTAAACACACAGGGTGCAACTAGAGTCTAAAAGGGCCAGCATCTTCTCTTGGGCGCCAGTGGAAGGCACCCTTAATTCTACTGGGATGATTAGGGCATGCGGATTTACCAAGGAGTCATCATCAGAATCAGTTTCACTTTCTCCTGGGGCGGTTGGAATTCCCAACTCCTCCACGCCTGGAGGAGCGATCAGTGATTTCCATACTTTTCAGGGCTGTTTCACGATGTTTTGCCGGCTGCTTTTCAGCCCTTTCCCCTCCAGCGGAGGTTGGTTTTGGGGCAGGCTTAGAAAAACAATTGGCAGCCCGGTGTTTCTCCTTCCCGCAGTTGAAACATACTGTTGACCTGGGCTTGGTCGCTGACCCCCCCTTTTTATGGCTTTAGGGGCCTCTTTTGATGTTGAGAAGGGGGGTTTGCCCAGCTATTGCCCCCCATGTCAGTTTCTGACCAAATCAATTTCCACATCCGCAGCCAACCAATACCAATGTTGAAGGTCTCAGGGTGAGCTCGAGTAACAAAGAGCTGGAAGATGTCGTTAAGACAATCTTGGTAGCTTTCCACTAAAGCTTCCTGAGACCACCTCTACATATCAACGGAGGTGGTCTCAGGAATATTTTGCCAGCGTGCGAAATTCCTGGGTGTATTATGCCACTGATTTTCGGCCCTGGGTTAAGAATTTCATTCTGGTCCTTGCCTTCCTGTCAGCTAGGGGGTCTTCAAAGTGCTCCCTTAGGGCCATCATAAAGCCATCGTAATCTCTCAGCTGTGGGGAATCATCCTTGTGAAGAGTTACTATCCACTCTGCTGCTGCTCCCTCCAAAGTCACACATCTGACTTTTACACCCTCAGATGCAAAATCTTCCCTATACTCTTGCATGTAGTTCCAGACTTGAGCTAGGAAAAATCCCAGTGTCTTAGGATCTCCTCCATATTTCATTCCTAATGGAGGAATCTTGGGAAATTGGTGCTTCTGGGGGGCTAACCCCTCCTTGGGGGGGGGTGAGTTGCTGCCGGAGCTCCAGGTGCCTGCCCTGGTCACGGTTAAATCCCCAGGGCTGGTTCTGGGTTAGCCAGGGCTTCGACTCCCCCCTCTGCCTACAGAGCCCCTCTACAAGCCAGTAAGGTGTATCTTTCACACACTCTCCGACTCTCAAGGGCTTCATGCAGATGTAAAGCTTGTGTCAGCAAAATGTCCTACTTGTTGGCTTCCTGCCAGACAGCCTCTGCCCACCGGCGCTGGGTGGCTGTTAACTCCCAGGGGAATCTCCTCTGGCACATCCATCCATCTGACTCCCAACGCCATCTGGGCCAGACTGGCTTCTCTTCAAGTTTCAGTTCAGCCATCCACTCAGTTTCTTCCCAACCCGAATGAGCCAGGGGAGGAGAGGATCCAGCAGCACCCAGGTCCTCCTGGTTGCTGCAAGGGTTAGACTGATTTTTGGCAGCCCACTCGG